GGAGGAGGGACTCCGATCCCGTCTGCGCCGAGTTCTGGATCTGTCTCGATCATCCCGGCGTGACATGACGAAACAGCAACACGTCCGGAAATGGTAAAGCTCGTCCTTGAGGAAGGATACAATCGACAAACCACAATCAACGACAACTCACGGCCATGCACATGCATGTGAATCGGCCGACAATCTGCCAGCAGCGACGTCCAGGATTGTGAAACTTAACTATGAACCCTTTAGTGAAACCTCGTTCCTGCTTAAACGTGAAATTCCGCTGTTCTATGATAAGCATGTTGAGGTCAAATTTTCCGGCGTACCGGCCCGGGGTCACACGATGGGTACACCCGAGGGTCCCCCACGAATGGGGTGTTCACACTTAGACTCCAGATGGAGGGTTCTAATCTTTCGAGTACAACTGATGAGTCTCGAGTACAACTGATGAGTCTCGAGTACAACTGATGAGTTTCGAGTGGGTGTAGGTTCGGCTTGCAGTCACTTGGTTTCCGTCTAGCAGCGAAAACGATACAAATTCAACATGAAGCACACACAGCGAGAGAAACAACGGGCCAAAAGGACTTTGAATCACACGAGATGCACAGGTACGTCGAGGTGATCAGCCTCGATATCCGCATTTGCTGTGGCCGCTTTGTTGGACCATCGCACACAGCAAATGGATGGTCCCCCTGCAGTGGGAAAAAGTTATTGTATGGTGGCAGGGTTTTCTGCCACTCCGCACACACGCACACATTTCCCTTTGAAAAAAGGCCTAGATACAGGGAATTAGAGAGCCTTCCCTATGCAGTTGAGGAATTGCCCTGACTCAAGCCACTGCTCACACAGCAACCTCCTTTGACCATTGCCGCCATAGAAAGCTTGCTCGGCGTGCGCCAGTTCGTTGCTAGAACAAACCTGTGCGCAATGTCCATCTCCACGCTCGGATTCACGAAGGGACAAAGAGGGGCCCCGTAGCAAACCTCCCATCAAAGATCGCTGCCAATTGAGAGGCGCAAGACATTACGCCGCTCTCCCAATGTCCCACTTGCTGAAGCGAACACACGACAGGCTGCGCCAGGCGGCACAACCTTGCCCAGCAGGTAGGGGTCCAACACACCACCCCTGCAATGCCGGGTTTCGCCTCCTGGCTTCTGTAGGCCATGGTCATGGTTCGCTATTAAGGAAGAAATGACCAAGACTAACAACCTCAAGGGAAAGATGTCTTTTGACCATGGCGCATGTATAGGACAATTAAAGCGACATCCTCAAAATTACCCTCTAACTGGTGGTTTAAGGATACCGCACCCAACAGTGAACTCCCGTGAACTTGCTCTGCTTTGTCCTTTGGTTTGTGGTGGAATGGGGTAGGGTTGCTTCCAGCTATCAGATGAGAAGAACCAAAACAATGGCACTGCAGAAGACTGCTTTGCTTTGATTCGAATTTACCAAGACCAAGTTTCTATCCTTTCAAGGTCTTCGGAGCATCCCTGGTGAGGATTGGAATGAAATTTTTGGGAGCTTTCATTTAAGCCACCTGTGGTTTTGAGGGTGTCACTTTCATGGGCCATGTTACTTGGGAAGGTGTCTTTTTGGGTGGATCTTCAATGACTGAAACCGGCCCGGGTCGGGTGGAATACTGTTTGGGCGCTCTTCGAGATCCTCTTCGGGGAGGTCTTCAAGCAGCAGCTACACCCGATGGAAACAGAAGGCGAAGTCGCGGAGGGTGGATGCGGTTGCCATGGGGAAGGTGGACGCACGTCGCTTCAAGAAGAGGAGCGGTTTGCTCATCTTCGCGGCCACACGCCCGGGCGCTCTGACGGCCAGCTTCATCAATGGAATTTGCGAGAAGCTCATGAGGGGAGGCATTGTTCGTACCAGTCAGCTGCGAGACGTGAAGCTGTCGGAGTTCGTGACCACGGGGGCTGTTTGTCTTTGCTTGTCCGTTTGCGTATGTTTGTCTTTCTCCGTGTTTATTTGTGTCTATTTGTTTATTTATTTGCGATTGTTTGCATTTGCTTTGGTTTGTCGTTTTGGGATGCTGCGGAAGTTTTCAACTTTGACTTGTCAAGGCTATCCTTCCAAAACAGAAGATGTCCCCTTCTCATACAGTGCCCCAATGGACTGCACTCGACTTGAAGCAACTGCCACTTGCTGTCGTAGACATTTTGGGTGTTCCAGATCTTGACGCGACCAATAGCCTCACTTCCCAAGTTTGTTGGCTTTGCTCGACTTTTGGAAGGTCGGTCAGCTATAAAAGTTGCTTTTTGTTGGCCAATCCACTCGAGATAGCAAATTTGTTATATGGTGGGCGTTGGAAACGGACATGGTCATGAGCAGCAAAGTGTGGAACACAAATTTGTCGGATATGGGTCAGCGCCAAAATAGGGGAGGCGCAAAAAATGTGTGGTTTACACCTGGTTTCCCTTTCTAGCCACCCAAAACGGGGTACCCTCAACAAAACACGCCCATATGTTTGTTTGTCTTGAATGCCATATCTAGCGAACGAGACTGGTCATTCGGAAGAGCAAGTCTTGTTTTGAAGCTTCCCCCTCTTTACACATGTTCAAACGCGGCCAAAAGGAGAATGCTCGTGTTTGGTGAACCACCACATTCTGAGGCAAATCCAAATTGAACAAATCTTTGGGCAGCATGGCCGGTATTGTGCGTCGAAAGCCCCCGTTGGCCACTTTAGTAGATCCCTGCTCCTTGATTTAATAGGGCTTAAAAAGCAAGGCCTATGCAAAGCATCATAGCCGTGTTGGTGACCATGTTGGTAGCGTCAAAGTCCATGGATCAGGGTTTGTCTCAAAATGGGGGGGACCTGCCTTGTTTGAGGTTCGCCTTTTTCGGGTTGGCATACAAGGAAACCCAAAGAAGACTCTTTTTGTTGGGGGGTCGGCACTCACACCCACATGTCAAAGTGACTTAACAGGAGGTGGCTGATGCCAGCTACTTCTCCGTTGTCCTGGCCATTTGCTTGCCCGTGCGCATCGGTGTCTCGGCGCAAAAAAAACCTTGACTCGAAGCCAGACTAGAAGGGTGGTGCTACAAGTAGATGGCACCAGGGTTCAATTTTGTCTCACTGCAAGGTAGAGTTGAACCCAATCCTGTTGGGGGAAAAATCACCACAGCTTCCCTTAGTCAAAGAAAAATGGCACCTTGGATGGCGCAAGTACCCCATGTTGGTTTAGTCATCATTCGGACGATGGTGCTGCTATGTGCTACTATTTTTGCAAAGCCATGTTTGAAATGACCCCCTTTTTCACCTTGCTCCCGAAATGGGCTGTGGTTCCTTGGGGGCCCAAAACTAGTCCCCTGAAAATCGGCTCCCCCGTTGGAGCTTGCGCAAGGCAAGTCTGGGCCCACAAAGCACAAAGCAATCAGCTGCAATCGACCGATGTTACGAAGAATCGCCATAAATCCGCACCCGTAAATTCAGGTTGAATCGGGACCCCGAAACGTGCTTCGGCTTCCGATTGACAGCAAAGCTCCACGAGCTGGGCCTATGGAACCCCCTTCCGTAGGCCCTACAACCTAGCGAAGCTTCCGCTGTAGAGCCATCTTCCAACAACACTGTGCACATACTATTGCGGACACTCCTTTATAGCACTGCGATGGCTGAAGCTTGTATGCTCAAAAGTTGTTGCTTGGTGATTTGACCAAACCTACCTCGTGATGGCGCGCATCGTGACGCGACAGAACTTGGCAATGGCCTTTATTTTCCTCCTCGCAGTCCGGGATGTGTCTGCGGCACGCGACAGCTATCTCGCAGGAGAGCTGGCATCTCTGTCTGCGCTTTCTGCAGATGCGAAGACGGAGCAGGAGGAGCGCAATGCTGCAGTGAGGGCAGCTGGCTCCTTCTCCATCGACACCATGTGGAGTAAAGGCGACGACACTGCGTGGTTTTCATCGCTCACTTGGCTTCAGTCCGAGGTGAAGTTTGCTTACAAAGATGGGGCTGCTGGAGACGTGGCGCAGTACGTGGAAGTGACCGGCCTGGACAAGCCCTATCGCCTGCTGCCGGATACTGTGGTATTGAACCAGGAGATCAACGGCATGTCGGTGGTCGGAATTGTTGGCTACCAGGCAAAGTTGGGCCAACTACTGTTTTTGGCCTGTTCTAGCCACTATGGTTTGAATAACTTACTGGTTTCTTGAAGGGGCTCTGTTGTTGGCAACCCGACGTGCTTGCGCAACTGCGGCAACAGCTGGCTGCCATCCGGCGGCAACTGGGCGGGGGGGGTGGGTCCTCCTCTTCGAGTGAGTTTTTGTGCGATTTCTAGTCTCTAGGCTTCCCCAACCTTTTTCAAGGCCAAGGCTCCCTAAGCTTCCCTAAGCCCAATAAATTTTCAGAGTTTCCCCAAGCTTCCCTCCCCTCCCCTTTCAAACTGCATTCCCGCTGAATTCTGGGTTGTTTATCCCAACCAACCTAGCCACAATCAAAGCGGAAGCGCAGGAGCTTGATGGAGCCTATATTTTTAGGTGGTTTTTGGGGAAGGAGTGCTAGGGTTGGCCAAGGAGCTCTAGGCAGCGCTAGGGAAGCTTCTACTTATTTAGGGGGTTCCAACCACCCCCTGCCCTTACACCCCTATCCCTTAAGAACCCCAAAATATATGCACTCAACGCAGCACGAGTGCAACTGCCAGCGATGGATGCGCAGCTTTGCATGGCCGTGCCCTGTGACTCTCTTGCACTTTGGCGCCCCACGCGGCGCCCACAAACAAGCGCCTGGATTTCAAAATAGGGCAACTGGTTCATAATGCTGCGTCCAGAGCCGGCCGGCCCGGCCCGGCTCGTGCTAAAACTACCGTAAGAGTTCTTTAAACCAGTCCAGTACTAGTCCAGTACGTAGGAATGACCCACGACCTCCGATGCCTTCAACCTCGACTGTATTGTTGACTTGTCCGTGGAACCGACAAAGGCACTCTGCCGGTAGAAAAAGCACAGTGAGAAAGGCACGGGGTTGTAGTCTTGGACTCCTTGTAACTGGTTTTTGCCAACGCTACTGAAATTGTACTCTGAGGATAAGCTGGACAAGCTGTGTGTTTCGGCCTTCCAGCCCATAGTCGCCGTAGTTGCCAAAACTTATGTTTTTCATGGCTTTGTTCGGGCCCTTCTGCGCGGCATTGACTTGGCTCGCCGGTTCTGGCGCCAACAGTGGCAGGCTTGGGACTCGAAGACCTCCACGTACGGCTCCAGCGTCTACAACAAGAAGAAGGCCTTGTTCCTCCGCACCGAGAAGAATCCCGTCATTGGCGTGACCACTGAGCTCAGTAGGGTTCTTTACGTGGCCCGCCAAGCAGGGCTCAAGGTCTACAAGAGCAACAAGGCAGACGCCAAGGCGTACTACTTCGATGGCGGCAAGGTAAAAACCATCTCGGAAGCCGAGGTTAACTTGCATGCTACGCCTGCGCCTGATGTTCTGGCAATCAAGATGGATGGCCAAGCGGACAAGGCGGGGTCCCTCGATCTTTGTTTTGGACCAGCAATTTTCAAACAGCCCCCAAGAAAGGTCAAGCCACCTGTCTCCATGGAAATACAATGGTCCGTCTGACCAGGCACTCAGAAAGCCCAATTTGGAGCTGATGACTGCGGTGGACGCCATGCTCGGCCAGAGCTCCTGCCTGAACAGCCCCTCCTTATGCGCCTTCAGGTGCACTTACGACTCAGAAAAGGACGTCTGCGGACCCATCGGCTTCTGCCACAAGGCGGGCGGGTGGGAACGCGCAATGACTTCCCAGTCGTTCCCCTTGCAAAACCCTAAAAACGAGACCCTAAATACTTAACTTGACAACGGGTGGCCCAGAAGCATTTAAACACGTTAAATGAGCAACAGCACGTAAACACGTCAACGTCTCTGCTCAGCAAAGCTTCTGCAAGTTCTGAGGAGCGAGCTTAGCAGCTTCACAATTTCGGGTGTCAACTTCTCTTGTGCGTGATGCTGTGTGGGTGAAGCTGTGGGTGATGTTGTGCGGCGCTGTGCATGATGTTGTTCTGATGCTCTGCAGCCTCTGTTGCCCAATCTTTCATGCCAGTTTCTCTTGTCAACTCTCTGGTCCCTATCTGTGCGCAGTCTGGCTGCGCAAGAAGGTTGGTGGCCTTGCCTGCGCGGAATGCGTACTTCGCATGCTACTCTTGCTATTTTGGAGCCGGAGATGGGAAGCGCAATTCCCGCGCTGCTTTTTCATTTTAATGGGCTAAAGCGTTAACCGCAGGTGGTCGCTTGTCTTGACTCTTCATAAGTGTCCACTTGGGCCACCATTTTGGCTCAAGTGGACTCTGACCTTCTGTCTTGTAATCTGAAATCTTTCTTTCCCCTCCTATCAAAGCCATGTACGCCCCCGCCTACGCTGGTGCCGCGGTTGCAGAGGCCAAGGCGAAGGCAAAGGCCTCCATGGCGAAGTACCTGGCAAGCCTCGTGACGAAGGAGGAAGAAGGATGGACCGTCTTGGCTGCTGAGGTCCCTCAGGCACCTGACGAGCGGTTCTTCTCCAGCGCCGATGAGCTGGAGCAGGCCCCACACATCCCAGCCAAGCGCAAGGCAGAGGACGAGCTGATGGCAGACTCAGCCCCTGGGGTGGCGCAGGTGCCGAAGGCCCTGACACGCCCCCCAGGGGCGTTCCTGGAGCTCCTAAACCCGCCGGAGAAGGATGTTCCCATGGAGGAACTCCTGGCGGAAGACGAGGAGGAGCTCCCGTTGTCCGACACCAAGTGGCAGAGACGCCGTGATCTGATGGCGAAGGTCAGGGAGCAGGCGTCCTCGGAGGAGGATGAGGACCCCGCAGCCCCCCCGCCGGGGGGAAGCGTCTTCACCAAGGCCCTCCAAGTCTCTGAGGGCCTTTACCAATTCAGCGATGACCAGATGGCGGGCGACTTCCCGTGCTTTGATGCGACCACGGCCACTAGGCTCCGCCGACTGCAGGCCAAGGACGTCCAGCGGCTCCTGAGAGGCTTTGAGGGCCCCCAACTCAAGCAGGGGGGCCTGGAGCGTGTGGTGGAGGCGTTCTACATCAAGATGAAGTATGAGCATGAGGCCCGGCTCAGCACCCCGGGACAGCAGGTCGGCAAGCGCGCTGGCCTGGGGTATGGGGGCCTGGAGAACCGCCCCCTGGGTAAGGAGCCCACATCCTGGATCTGCCCCTGCTGCACCATGCCCTGGGTGAAGAAGGGCGCCAGGAAGTGTATGGGGTGCGGCAAGAAGACGGAGCCCATTGACATGGCGACCAACTCGGCCACCCTGGAGATGGCGGGCACGCACTGGCAGTTGACGGTGGATGACCAGGGCAATGCGGTCTGGACGGCGGCTCGGTCCGCAGGTGCCGATGGCCCTGACACGGACCGGGCCCGCGACCTCAAGCTCAGCGCCTTGGTGGATGTCAGCGAGCTGGCCACCGACCCAGAAACTGCCCCATGGAGCTGGACGAGGATTTCCTGACGGCCCCAATGGGGGAGAGACCTCCATTGCCGGGCGACAAGGAAGAGGGCCAGGAATGCAGGGCCTTCCACCCGTCGGCGGTGAAGGCTTTCAAAATCCAGACCCGGCTCAACGCCACCACCGTTGCCCAGGAGGAGGCCAAGAAGGCAGACCAGGTGGCAGCGGTGGAGCGATCCGCGGCGGTCCTCCACGAGCTTCAGGGAGGGGCCATTGATGGAGGAGGCGATGGGGGCCTACTCCTCAAGAATTTGGACTTGGGCCTTTTCCGCGAAAAACTGCTGGATAAGCTGGGCGCGGACTGGGGGAGGCCCACACCGGAGCTCCTCCAGGCCCAGACCACTGCGGAGGAGGCGAAGGCAAAGCACCAGGCCAGACAAGCGAAGGGCGCCCACGAGACCAGAATGCTCGAGCCCATCAAGCCTCCATTCAGTGCGTGGCCTAACAAGGTCCGAGTTGCCATTGAGACGGGGGTCTTTGAGCCGACCACGGCATGGAGGGATTTCAGCATGGACGACCTCACGTCCCTCACGGACTCTTACCTCGAAGCCAAGGCGGTCATCTCGCTGGGTAGGAACCCCTTTCCCCCTCCTGGCAGATCTGCCGGATCTGGCGGGGATCCCCATTCCGGTGCGGCGCGCCCAGGTGCCGAGGGCCCTGACAGGCAGCCCACCATCCCCCCAGCCTCGGGCTCTGGCGCGACGAGCTCAGGTGCCGAGGGCCCTGACAAGCCGTCCGCCACCCCGGTGGGCCTGGACACCAAGGACCCGGAGGTGCAGCTCTCGGTCCTGCGCTGGATGATGAGCAAACGGGTCGGAGAGGTCCGTATCTTTGCAGGCCGCTGGGTCCGACGACCGGGCCCGGTACACGTCCCGGATTGGGCGAAAAACCTCACCAAGGTGAATCCGGAGGCGTTGGAGAAGGGTACGCATCCCAGGAACCACCAGGTGGGTGGACTCCCCTGGGCCAGGTACTCCGTTGATGAGTTGCACCAGCAGGCGAAGGCGGGGGACCGACCCTACCCTGGGGACCTGCGATCCATCTTTTGGGCTGCCCCCCACGATCCGCGCGCCAGATCTCGTCCTGGACACTCCCAGGCCTACTGGGGATGTTCGGGCACAGCTACACCCTGCGCCAGCTCTGGGGAGTCTGGGAGTCTCTGCCACTGCTGGGCAGCGGGGCCCGAAAAACAAGGCCCAGAATCAGACCCGCCTGGAGGGCCTGAAGGAGGACGCGCGGTGCTTCCTGAAGGAGGAGGGCCTTCCGTTTCGTCTACCGGGCCATGGGCAAGGTCCTCGCGGCCCGGGCCTTCCTCACGGACACCCCGGCGGAGGTGATGCAGCTCCCGGTCCAGGACGTGGCGGACTCCAAGGAACAGATGATCCTCCGGGCGGTATGTGATGAGCGCATATCTGTCCCGGTGGAGAGTCTCCAGCAGTTCCCAGAGGTGTACAAGGCCCTCATGGACCGCATTGGAGGCCCGGGGGCGCTGCAACACGAAGGAGTGGTGGGTCGGCGCAGTCCCCGACTCAGTAGCCCCCTCCATCTACCGCAAGCTCGGTTACACCAACGACATGATCAAGCTGATGGGCCTTGACCCCTCCGCCCCTGGGTGCCGGACAGGTGCCGATGGCCCTGACATCCGTTTGAGGGGAGGAGAGGGCGATGAGGGGATCGTTTACCCCCCCATCACATCGGACAACGTCCACGGCGTGGTGGGCAAGGACTACCGGAAGAAGAACTATCCGGCGGAGACGAAGCATGTCTTCTGGGCGCACATGGAGTGTGGCCTGGTCCTGAGCTCCGTCACCCCGTGGGAACTCATCCCGAAGACAAAAGGGGAGATTCGGGGGGGCTACATGTGCAAGTACTGCAAGGGGTACTGGCGCGCCGGGGGAGGGGGCACCCGCCTCCTCCAGATCCGGGCCGGCAAGGCCATCCTTCAGCTGGTGCTGGACGAGCCGCCGGATGGCCTGTACAACCGCTGGGTCAAGGAGCGGTTGGAGTTCTACCGCCGGGTAGAGCCCTCTGCCCCGCTGCGGGATGTCTCCGTGGTGGACCAGAAAGTCCCCCGGGTTAGGTTCAGCCACATCACCCAGACCGGCCATGTTTCAAACGCCATCTGGGAGCTGATTCTCCGGAATCCGGAGGCGGCGGCGCTCAAGCGCATTGACGACATTGCAAAGGGGGCCGTATGATCATACAGCACTGCGGCCATCCGGAACGGATTCGCAGCGCATTTCGGGGGGGACAGCTGCCGAGGGCGCTGATATCCCCCCCTGGGCACAGCACAGGCCTAGACCTGTACCAGGCGAGAAAAATTGGCGCGCTTGGGCTGGTCCGGGGTGCGCCTTGGCTCCCCTCCCTTGTTTGGTTCTTCCCTTTCCGGGGCGGCTCCCTGGGTCCCCCCCCCCCTTTTCCCCCGTTTCGGGATGGGCTTTCCGGGGTTTTGGGGGCTCCCCTGTTGTTTGGTTGGGGTTTGCGCCTAGGAATTAGGCTCCTGGCTCGAGTGGAGCACGATGATGTGGAGGCCCCGCCTCCCTTCCCCGTTTGGAACGACCTTCCTTGGGGTACCAACCGCGTTCCAGTTGATTTTGCATGACCTTGGATTTGCACCAGTGCAGTCGGACGGGGAAGTCCTCGTGGCGTGCTGCCTGGAATGGGTCAAAAAGGACCAGGTTGCCAACCCGGATGCGGTGGTCTTTGACCCGCGGCCGTGGACACGAATCGTGGGGCTGGCACCTGACGGCAACCATGTCCTGGTGGCCTCGGACACCTACAACTTGATCCTCGCAAGGATACTCGGCTCCCAACCACAACCGCTGGAGGAGGCGGATTTGGAGCTCGCCACTAAGACCCTGCAACAACTTCTGTTCCGTGCGGCAGGCGCCAGACAATCGCACACCTATTCTCCACTGGAAATGGAGCAGGCCATCCGGGACCGCGAGGAGTGGATCCTCTCCGGATCAATTGAGGCCCCAGATGTCCTGGCAGTGGCCAACAAGTGGCGGCATTGGAAACCAGGGAAGATCAAAACCCAATTGCCGACATCCCAACGAGCGTTGGAACAGCACTTGAGGGCCAGGTGGCTGGAACGCCTCCTGGGCTACTTCATTCCCTTCCGCCACCAGATCCCCGACATGCACCAGGTGATGGGGGCCAAGGAGCTGGAGGAGTTTGGCCACCTGTTCGGAGATGCCCGTTTCCGGACCATCCGTGCACATTGCTTGGCCTATGAGGGCATGCGCAGGATCGGCTTCCAGAACCTCCCCTGGACGGCCGGGGACGTACGGCACCTCATGAACCAGGCGGTCACGCTGGAGGTCACCCCGGCGAAGCTCCAGAAGTGGTGGG